CTCGGAACCCAAAGCCGGACAGTTTTGTCTCTTGATGCTGAGGCAATCAAATGTCCTGATGGAGAAAACTTCACAGATAATACAGCATCCTGATAAAGAAGTAACAAAATCTGTGACAAAAAATTCATTTTCACCAACTGAGAAGTTGACTGGAGATCGTCAATCAAATGTACCACCCATGAATTACACAGTATAGATTCTGTATACAAACATGTATTACTTAAATTTCTTTATATAAATTAAACAACTGAGATACTAAGCACGTTCTTTTTGGTCCATAGGTGTTTAGATGAGAGTATGTAGACATGGTTGTCATATTTTAGATTCATGTTTATTCTTGAGAAATATTTTATAACAGCAATAATTAAAAGTACTTTTTACTTTTTCTGTGTTTACTTTGTCTCATGTGAACACTTGGGGGTTGCGAGAATTCTCAAAAGTTATACAAATCCTTGACTGCATCTTAGGTTTGCATAACTTGAGATGAGGCTATGTAAACACAGAAGTGCTCTTGCTGCGCCTTTCAATAATATGTGGACTCTAAAATTCAAAGCTCAACTGACAAATGCCTCAGGTTGAGCAAACGTTTTTTGTTTTTCAGTGATTTGTGCCATGCATTCTTTTTCCTGTCTTGCTTTGCTCAATTTCCATTTTTTTTTCTTGCGCAGGAACATTTTTTGGTAATTGCCCACTCCCCCTTAAATAAATGATGTCTCTACCCTAAATTAAGTTGATTTTGTATGTCGTGTGTTATTTGGTTTGTGTATCACTTAGTGAGTAATTCTGCTTATTATGAAAGATATACATGTAAATTGGCCCAATTGCTAGATGATTCTCTTATTCTATTAGAAACTGGATCACTGGATAATGCAATTCAGGAGTTTTCAATGGTATATGACCCAACATACCTTGCTCCACAAATCTGGTAACCGGATGCGTGATTTTTTGAGAGACATTTATATTTTTAAATTTTCAGTTTTCTATAATTTGGGAACGTTTTTAATAAATAATTATTCCATTCATGCTTGTTGGATATAAGATAGTTATAGCTAACTTAGCACCACTCTCCTCGTTGGCTATTTACCATCTCATATCCAACATGCACGCGTGCAATAATAGCTAAATACATTGTTATACATGTAAATTACAGTAAAGTCTATGTAAATGTCTTGTCATACCTTGTGACCAACAAATCTGTATGCTCGCATGTGTGGTTTAAAATGCCAGATCATTAGACTTGAATCCATAGATCCAGTTACTACACAAAAATGAAAACAAATGCTAAGTTATTCCTAATAATTTAATCCAATTGTTCAGCATGCATACAAAAGTCACGTCTAATATATATACCATGAGACTATGTTGTAAATCTACCATCAATTTTAATTACAGATTTTCCTT